TTTGTAATACCCTCTACAAGGGTATAATGACTGTCGTTAATGACGACAATGTGAAAACGGTTTGAACCAAAACGGGAAACAGCAACGGGAAAGTGGCAGCAGAAACAATAACAAGCCAAGGCAATGGCAATATTGTTGCACTTGTATGCAACACCCACACGGGTGTACCCGGTTACACGGGTGTTTGTGTGTACTATGCATGTATGCGTGTGTTGCAAATTATGGACATGCGTGTGAAGTACAAGCATGTAAATTGAAACTGTGACACGCCCATATCCACCATATCCGCCCCACGCAAATGGCAGTCCAAAACAAACTGTGCGGTTATTCGGGCTGCTGACAATCGGCCTCCAATTTGATTATGTTCCCGATAATGATTTCATTTGTAATCTCATTACAATATTATCACCATTAGCACCCAAAACATGTTATCAAAATAATAAATGATGCCAGACTTGAAACCGAATTTTAAAGCTATTTAGACTTTAAGATACCCAGTGGGTAGATAACTTATCATCTTAGTCTTAGGTCAACTGTCAGTAAATCTCAAGTAAAAGCTAATACAATCGAAGGAGCACTAAGGGGAACGCCACCCTGATTATTACCAATATCAAGATATTAATAATATTAATTAATAATATTCACACATTCTCCTCCAAGTTCGATCTGCCCAACAGAACCTCTATATCTTCGAAATGGTAAATAACACAACCTATAATATCCAGCACTTTGATACTGACAAATTTGTAGGGAAGTATACGATTGTGATAGGAGAAAATCCTCTTGGGTGTTTCTCTTCCAGAGGAAAGCGAAATTGTTAACAAGAATTAACCTCGCCAATCGCCAGAGTAATAATGTACGTTTTGGGATGTAATTGTGGTCTCGAAGAGGCACCACCCCTTCATCCCCGCAGCAATTGCATTAATAATGTTGCAGGACCCAGGGCCGGGCCCATAACCAGGCTACACCAGTCACCAGACAGCGGCTGGCATACTTTTCGGGTTGCAGAATGCAATATTTGGAAATATAATTATGCCAGTGACTGTGTGTCTCTCTGAGTCTCTCTCTCTCACTCACTCTCTGGGTCCTGTATTAACCCAAAGGCAATGAAATATACGATTCCATATGCAAGGGTACCCGTGTGAGTGCGTTTGCCATTATATTGCATAATTTATGTGCGCATTTAATTAAATTCCAGCCTTGGCACTGGTTTTTCTCACTGATGACCCAAATACCCGTCCCACAGACATACAGTCACGTTTAATGCCTGCTTAATTTAATATACTTACAGTCAAAAAGTAAAACATTAACTGTCAAAATAGTTTAAAATTAATTTCAAACTTCATGTTCAATTTGTCACCACACAACCGAAGAATTTTTTTAAATTTCCCCAAAATGTTGCAGATTTATTTATTTGAGTTTTTTTTTTATTTGCGGTAATGGTTCAACCAATACGAGTAATGTGCACAAAGTTAATTACGTTTAATGGGCATTAGAGAGTAAGCCGATTGTGGAGGATTTGAAGTGCAAATGCAAATGAAATTTATAATTTAATAAAAAACATATGGCTGCAATTAGTCTGCATAGATGTACGATCTGGAAATATGTGTTTCAATTAAATTCGTGAAAAATTAAATTACAGTAATTTGACCAAATTCCGCCAACACAAAGTTGCTGCTGCATTTTGTGGACTCTAATATTGCTGTTAAGGACTTCAATTGGTTTGTTTTTTCATATATTGTGAGAACTTTAATCAACTCCATTGAACACGTTGCATCGGCTGTATCGAACAACACTTTGTGTAGAAATAGCTTTGCTCTTTTATCTATCAGTTAAGAAACCAGTAGAGACCAGGGATATGTACAAATCTGAAATTCAAAGTATTTGCATATCTAAGCAGGTCCCTAAATTTACTTAAATGCAAGTTGAACCCTAACGACTTTTTATTTAATATTCAAATTAAAGAGCAATGCTAATTGCTCTGATAAATTTTCTACAAGCAACCTAGCGTAATTACAAATATTATGTATAAACGTTTTAGAGGATTACACATATTGAAACCTGGATCATTGAATTTTGTGAAACGCTATTATCCCAAAACAAAAGCTGTGGGTGAAGCCGACTTAATAGATTATCCGCTTATTCGAGGAGTCAATGACTCGAACAATCAAGTCGATATATGCAAACAATAGATAAATTAGGTTTAGAAAAAACTAACATATAATAACATTTCCTAGTGTTCGTATGGATATGTATGTATGCACACATGTGTGTAAAATGTCAATTTAATTATCTTTAAAAGGCAACAAACACCATACAAAATTCAGCAATGCATACCACTAATTTGGCCACATTCTTCCGTATAATTGCTTATTTATTTGCAAATATTTACTAATAATTCATATTCTCTGGCACCCGCCACAGCCCCAAGGCAATTTAGATCCAATTTCGCCATTTCGTTAATTAAAATTTCAAACGACAAAATGAAAAAAAAGGAGTGAGAAATATAACCCCAAAACCACGTTTCTAACATGAAATTATTTATTTCCTTTAATTAAAATGATGCTGGAATTTATTTGGCCTAATTTATGAGATAAAACGCTAACCAAAACTATCCACTATTTAACGGAACCGGAAACTCACAAAAAGTTAATGAAATAAATAACATTTTGATGCATTGACTAATACTAATGAGGGAGACAAGTGACCGATCGAAGCTGCACACATTTTGCATCAACATTAAATCAAATTTATAAATAATGAGTAAACTGGAGAGTGAGATATGACTCTGACATATTGCCCTGCATGTGACTTAATGTCCTTCACAGACACTCGGATAGGATTGGATAGAATGGAATGCGATGGAATGGCATGGCATTGGATGACATGGCAAATGAGACTACAAGTAACCGGCAGGGAAATTAGTTACGGTGTCGCACAACGACAAGAGCCAGGCACATCCTCACTGCCGGTCCGCATGTGAGTGACTTAGTGCCTGCTTGATCTATCATCATTAGTTGAACATGTCACAGCAGACACTTGGCCCAATTGATTTAGTGTCATGGCATTGAGCTCAACAGTTCACTCGGACACAAGGAGACTCGTCTCCTCCTCTGTTTGGCAGCTAATATCCCCTAAGTAGTTGGCCAACATTCCTCGTTGACACACAGTCCAAAAACCGATGACACACAGACATCAATGATGTCTGGATTTCAAACACTTGTTAATATGGGGTTTGTCTCCAAGTTTAATTAACTTGAGAGCCGTGAACTGTGTTTAAATTAGATGGTGATACCGAAAATACGTACAAATACGTGGAAATAATCCCTGTAACTGCTTAAAAAAGATTGAGATTAATTTAATTTCATGAATGAGCTGAGGAATGACAAAAGTTTAAATAATCTTTAAGCAATTGACTGTTAAAAAATGATAAATTTGTTTGAAAATTCTTTAGAACTGCGCCTAAGTATACCGACCGAAGTAAATTAAGATGATATAATGTTTCAGCAGACCTCTGAATATTCATAGCTCTGACGGCCATCCTCTTCGGCCACTTGAAAGTTTACTTTGCCAGCAGTTTGTTAAAAAAAAGCACCCAAAAAAAACATAAAAAGTGGCACAGGCAAATTATAATCTCCCATCGCGTAATTCGTACAAATGCAAGTCTCATTAATTTTGGGCAAGTTGCAGTTTTAAATTTAGTGCTTGCCGCAGTCCGGCCCCCAGTTAATTAACACCTGAACGTTGCACGGCACCACCCGTTTTGGTGGTTGTCGTTTGGCGGCACCCTACGGGCCTGGAAACAGAAACCACTTCAGTCACACTTTTGTGCTCGGCAGCCGTGTGCACTGACGCAAAGCGGAAGTGGCACTTTTCACGAGCTGAAGCCCAACCTGAAGCTGGAGCTGATGCGGATGCTAAAGCTGGATGTGGCTGTGGCACCGTAGCCGAAGCTACTACTGCTGCTGCTGCTACTGCCACCAGCAGGCGTATCGAAAACCGAAACTTTTGATGGAAAAAGTTTGCAACAACAAACGCATGGCCCCCGTCCAGAAGCAGGGGAAAGTCCTGTGGCACCAGCCCCTTTAAACCATCAAGTAAGTCGCTATAATTCTCGCGCACCGCCTCATGAATTTTGATTCTTTTCTTTTGTATTTTTTTGTATTTTGTATGGCATTCTTCTATCCTTCTATCGCTTTCACTTTAAGCCGCGTCTTAGATTTGAATAATGAGCACCGGGCCAAGGTGAACAAAATGGGCCTCAATTGTGTGAGGCTTAGAGATTTATGGGTGTGTTTGCAAGACAGATTAGGTCGACCGATAGAATCTTTACCCAAAAACCACAAAAAAAAGCGAAAGGAATTTGTAAAATGCTCTAGCTGTCCGATAAAGAGTCGCATAGGGAATGCGATAAATAAATTGCAAGAGAATGAGAATAAAAAAATTCGTTAGTGCAAAGTCTTAGAACAGATGCATCATTTCCATAAAATGATCGAATTTGTTGTTGCAACTCTCGTAATGGGCACAATATCCAGAAAAAAGTACAATCAAATTGGCTTCAAAAGATTTGCCTAATTGCTGAACAGAAAGCCATCCAAAGCCACTCCTCAGCTTGTGTTACTCGCCTCCCTCTTCCGTATAGTTCGTTTCAGTTGAGTTCGTGGTGCATCAAATAAAAGTTCTGCCAACAAAACAGCAGAGACACTGAAAATGCAACAGAGGCAAGTTCTGCTTTGCCTTTTATTCTGCTGATGCGGCATTACGAGTGCGGGAATCTTGGGGAGTCGCTGCCTGCCACTGCTGTTGCATGCTGATGACTTTGTCAACAACTTAAATTCTTTGGCTGCCATAAAAAAGAACAAAGTTGTAATCCATTTAGGGTCTGCGGAGGTCGGAGATCACAAAAGCAGCTTCTGGTTTTCTTTGATGTTAAGCAAGTTGGCCTATTTAAGCTCAATTTTAAGCTCATGTTGCTCCTTGAACTAATTGTTGAATGTTTGTCAAATCTTTCGCTTTAATTCTTTCGTTTGTATATAAATATTAACACCAATAGCACAATCATGCATAGATTATAAAATAGGCAAATTCCCACAGTGTTCCAATTGTGCAAAAATCTATAAGATCGTGGCTCGTCCTCAACAATATCCATCTCTGCAGGTATTTGCTCTTCATTTGATACATTTTCAGGTTCATCTATCTGAATAATGTGAAGATAACTCTCTCCATCTAACAATATTTCCTTGTCGTCACTAGAAAGAATACACAATTTCGAAATATATTTTTCACAGCTCGAAGACGTTTGGAAAATGAATATTACCGCATTGTTTTCTGAATTCGTTCTGACCTTTGCAGCTTCAAAGCACTCAACATACTGGGAAACAAGTTCAACGGGAGTGCTTCAATCCCGCGCAATATTCTCAGCACTTGAGTTCCAAGAAAACAAATCCAGCTGGATTTCTACACTGCAACATAAACATATACGATTGCGGGCAGAGGATACAAAGTGCTTATGACAATGTAGAGCAAAGCTTCTCGGCATCGTAGCACCATGTCCACGTGCCGACTAAGATTTGGGAATTTTTCCTTTCAAACACAATTTACTTCATGATCTAACTTCCATATCCATATTCGTTCAGAAGTTATTTACTTAGCAAACTAAAATGGCCGAAGGCCCCACTGTGCGTCGGTGAAAAACGTATCGTGCAACAGCAACTTAAGTATTGGCAGAGAGAACTAAAGAGAGTGACAAAGCTTTAGAAAACTGAAAAGTCGTTCTCTTAAGTCGAAATATATATCGGATGCTTATATTATATATGTAGCTGCCAAATAAATTGTTTGGTACATTTTTTTTAATTTTTCCTTAAATACTTTGCCATAAAATAAAACCCCAGATAAAAATGGTCCCAATGAAATATACATATTTAAGTCGGATATAGCTGACAAAGGAACAATCGGTCAAGAAATCTGTTGTTTTAAGAAAATATTTCTTGGACTTGAATCCGTTCTGCTACCCGTCGAAATGAAGATATTATGTCGATTAAACAATAACACATGGCATTGCAACGCCATGAATGGGACAAAGAGCTCAAAATAAACACCACAACTTTGTTTGCAAAAGCAAAACATATGTATGGTTAGCACAAACAGAAATTATCACTGGGCAAATATCACAAAATTTTAAGAGAATTCCTTTTGTCAAAGGGAGCACAGAATCACACTCTGGAGAGTCTTGTCCATACCCAAGCATGATAAGCATTGATAAGATTCCATGCTCCAGGAGAGTTTTCTCTCTTTCATTATCTCTCGCTCTCTATTTTTTCTTTGGGAGTTCTGCAGTTCGCTTGTTCTCGGGAATCTTGCGAGAATACGAGTATCTTATCTGACTCACAGAACGACATAAAAAGATTGTCAGCTCTGGCTGTTTCTCTGTTTCTCTGTTTTTCTGTTTGCTTCGTTGTTGCCTCAATTAACACCTTTTGCAGTTGTGATAATGACGCAGCCGACAACTGCTTGGGCTCTGATGATTGGTAATCAACTAAAATGGAAACAGATATAGAAATAAACGCTCTTTCACGCTCCCGAAGCCGCCAGTTGCCAGTAGTTGAGCGGCGGACGCGTTTCGTAATGGACACGGACAAGATAAAAGCGAGGGAAGGCACCATTGGCACCGGCATGGCCCACGATGAGATCGACTTTACCAGCGGGTACGAGACCCAGTATCGAAAGGAGTACAGTCCACTAAAGCCGATATATGTCCCTCCTCCGGATAAAAAGCATGCCTGGTTTCGCAATTGGTCCACCCTCCTGCTGGTCCTCTTTCTGACCATCGTCTTCGCCTTTGGTACCGTTATACTGGTGGTTCAGGTCTTCACGGCCAGTCCCCTGCATGTCTTCATCATCGTTGCTGTCTATGTGGCCATTGCGGCGGTTATGATATTCCTAGAGGTTCAGTCCATCAAAGTGCGGTGATCCTACAATCGAAAATAACCACTAAAATTCCACTTCATTAGTACTTCATTGCTGTGACTAATTTGCTGAGTTATCATATAAAAATGTTGTGCTAATATCCCCGATTCGCTATCAAAATGCTCTTGGTTTATGTGTTGTGCAAATAAATGGAAAGCTTATAGAAAATTTAACCATTAATAACTTAAATACCCATGATATACAATAAGTATTAAATAAACAAATGTGCCCTTAAAAAACGTATTTAAATTTGTGTTTTATTAATTAAACTTTGCTCTGACTAGACAGTGGTTAATATATAACATTCACTGCTATCATTTAGTAGATTCGAAGTAAATCTAATCTTTGCAGCGCAAAAATCGACCTAGATAAAGTGTTTTTTCTGCTATCGAAGAGAGGCAAACCATAAACAGTGGAACACATGGAATGGCTGTCCATCAGCCAACAAGTGGCCAAGATATGTATGCATACACTCCAGGCATGTGTCTAATTAATTAATGTAATATCCCTCGCACAATGGACAATGAGCCATTTCCACATTAGTGATATGAGTTCCGTTATGAATGGATTATTTGGTTTCGGACATTAGCGACAGATTCAAATAGCTTCAAAGCTTAAACCACGAGTCTGGTTTCACTTTGAAAACATCTGTTCCCAGTGGAAACGTACTCGCAAATAATTTTGCTTATAAAACTTCAACTTTTCCCTTCAAAAAATATTCATTTCCTAAATTCCCTAGTAGATTTTATTTTTAAAAATTTGCTAAATATTTCCACTCGGGAAATTATTTCCAAATCACTTCGGTAATTGCTTTTCACATGCCACCAGTTATAAAACTCTCCTCGGATATTTTCCCTATTTTAACAACAATTTTCTCGCCTTGCAGCTGCAGCCTGTGCTCCTGTCATCTGGTTGGTAAAATTCTTGTTTAATAGCTGGAAATGTTACCAGCATTTGGATGGCATAAAAAATAGAACGACAAACTCATCCCGCACTTCCACATGCGATTCGCAGCTAAAAAACTGGACGCGTTGGCCCATTAAACTTTAATTTCCGTTGACAATGGGCGACAGTTTTTTTTTGTTGTTACCCGCTTCTTTGAGACGAGGGCAACAGCTGACTTACCTTAATTACTCACAGGATTCCTAGCCATGCTAATTATTTGCAGGGTGCACTATTTGTACCCCGAGTGTGGCCCGTCCGTGGCACTGTGAGGACAAGCAGAAGCCAGACGATGGCCAGACCTGGGGAACGGGAAACCTCGTGGCCAGCGCATTTAATTATAATGTCGAGGAGGGCGCTCGGCTTGAGCATTAATGCCATTTCCGGTCGCCGACAACCGACGACCATGTCGGGTCTCCGTCTCCTCCTCCTGGCTAGCTACACTTTTTTTGCATAGCAAAAACATTGCCTTTTGCTGCAATACGTACCCTTTAAATGGGGGAATTGTTGAAGTAGTCTATAAATCTACTTTAAACTCAGTTTTTCGAATTTTCTAACTAGTTTTAAGACACTTGTAATCTGGAACGAACATAATATTCTACAAATTCACTACACAAAAATATTTTCATGTAATAATGCCTATCATTGGTATCTTGGGTATCACTAAGTCCATCCCTAGCAGCACATACTATAATTTATATAGCTTAACACTCCCAGTCCGAAAGAGAAAGATGAAAAAGGCGATCTAATTAAGGTACTGCGGCAAGTCAAAGCCTTGTTTAAGCTAATTTTTTTGGACTGAAACATATAAATCGGGATTTGTGTGAATGAAATGCTCTCATTTTATTAAACAAACATTTTCGAGAATTGTGCGAGCTGCAACCGTTAGCCAAAGCATTGCAAGCACTGCAAAAATATTCAATATGCACATGACTTATTTTCCATTGATTTATTGCTCATATGCCTGCTGGCTCAATATTGCATATAAAAGGCATTTAAACAAAAGCTGTCTTGTATTTTATTTCATATTTATTTGTAAATTTTTCTCATTTTTTTATGACATTTTAAAATCTGGCCATGGTTGAATTTTGCATAGGCAAACGAATACATTTAATTTTATTCAGAATTTATACAAACTTCGAAACATTCAAATGAGAAAACTCGATGGCCAAACGAATGAAAGCCAACTGTGAAAATGTTACCAAAATGCATCCATAAGATTTACAGAGGAGAGGCCAAGACATCTGGCTATTGCCTGGGGAAATGTCTTGGAATTTGCTTAAGTAAATCTAACTTGGACGCTTTTCATTAGCCCACTCAGCAAGAGCCGAGAAAATACTACCAAGAAAAGCAAAACTCAACAAACTACAAGGGAAGGATAGCAAAAATATATAAAATAAAATCTCCCATGCATGGGAGATGGTGGCCGCTTCAATGTGTTGTCCTATGGGAATCACGTAGAGTTCTCCAGTGAATAAAACACAAATAAGAACTGACACTCCTCAGAGAATCGCTTTAGTCGTATTAAATTTTGTGCAAAAATTTAATATGGTTTTGTTCGACCCAACAGTGTTATTGCAAGTGGCTTAAAATGCATTGCCATTTTATGTTAATTATTTATGTAAATTTTTCAAACTTAAGCGCTCTTATTTTAAATCCACACACAATTTATAATTCAATTACAAGAATACAAAGTGTAACCGCATGAATAAAACAAAAAAAAAGGTACTCACTTTAAATTAAAGCCGTCATTTTTTCCACACTTCAGTCACAAATAATTCAATTAAAAAGTCTTTAAAGAACTATTGTTCAATGGCGAATATTCTACTGAATGTTCAAGTAGAGTCAGGGGCTGCTCAACGAGTGTTCCCAAGCCATTTTACCAGCCCCAACCCCATTTGAATATTCAATTAAGTCTAACTGCCAATTCTGTGATAAGCTCCCGCTCCAAAACCTCTCCAACCCGGAACAAAGGCAATTTCTTTTGGGCCTGGGTGAATAGCCTTGGAACATGGCCTACTGGCAATAATTTCTGTTAGAACCATAAAGGATGACACTTTCCAGCATTAAGCGAGGATCAACATCAACAGCATAAACCACACTGCAAATGTTACACCACTTGAACGAAAATAAAAGCTGTTTTGGCACCCGGTGGAAATCGACTAATTTCTCCAGGCGGTAAAGAAAATATGGAATATAATGTGTTATCTTTCACAGCATTTAAACAATTTATTAAATCTAAAAAAAGTATCGGTGGCCCTTTACTATTCCTGTAACCACAATTAAATCAAGTAAAATTGTATATATTGTACAAAGATTAACTCTACGAATATTCGGTAGAGTAACAAGCATGTCAAAGCATTTTTGTGACATCTTTTATTTATTTTATAACCAACAAAGGCCAAAAAGTCGAGAGAACGCAAACAGCATGCATAAATTACCGCAAAGAGACTTGAAAGACCAAAGTCCTCGACGCCGGACTCCTGGACTGGACCTGATCCTGGTCCTTGTCCTGCTCCTGTTCGTGCTCCTCCATTGCAGTGCGAAAAATGTGTTGAAATATTAAAAAAGTGGCCAAAGCGAAAACTGTGGCCAAATGCAGATGAGCAGGCACAAAATTCTCTTCTACTTTCAACTATTTGGACACTTTCTCTGCCTTTTTTTTTGTGTGTGTTTTTTTTTTTTGGTATTTGTAGAATGCTAAAAAGGCCACTTTAGTTTTAACCACAAAGTTTGCTTCTGTATGTGTTGTCGACCTCGTTGCACTTTTTGGGAGGCTTGGAAGCCAGGGGGCATCGGTCTTTCATGTCATTTAACTATGTTTCAGCCAGGACAATTGTGCTCAGGTTTGGTCCGAGTCCTAGTCCATGTCCATGTGCCGGCCCCAGTCCCTTCCAATCCGATTTAACTTAGGTCCTCAGTCAGCCAGGCGTTGATTGCCAGGCATTTAAAGTGTTTTCAATGTAAATCTATGTAAATACATTCTGGTAAATAAAAGAGCAACTCCATGGGTCCATGGGCCGGAATGGAAACTTTCGACTGGATAAATTGTATAGCCATATTTATTTGTTTTGCTAGCTCAATGCACGTTCCCAATGGGAGTACACCCATGTCCCCATGTGTGCACTCTTCAGATGATTCCTAAGACCTTAAGCCAGTCGCCCTTTAAGCCGTATTTATGCACTGTTTTCGGTCTATGTTTTGCTTTCATTTTCCTTTTCTTTGTTTATACCCTTGCAGGGGATATTGTGATTTTGATGCTTGTACCACCACGAAAGATTAATGTCCCCTTTGTCCCCTTTCTGAATTTTCTATTGTCCGCAGGCAGTTAGATCTGCCATAGGAATCATGAGCCAGTGAGAACTTAGCTTACAGTTCAACAAAAGTTGGCTTTGGAATAAGTGTACATTCGTCCCAGAATATAAACATTTTTGGAACAGAACTGATAGTCAATATGGCATCATCTAAAAAGTGCAAGAAACAAACAAAATATAATAAGAATTTAAAACAATACTCGAGTAAAACGCAAAAAATTCTCGGTTTGAGCAAAAATGGCTTTTGGAACTTCCTGCGGAACTACAGAAAGAGGCATTCCAGGCTGACGCCAGGAGCTACGATCCGACATGGAGCCAGGGATTGGTGTGCACTTACAAGAAAACAGAAGGAAAAATATTACAATATGGTATGCAGAACTATCACTAAAAATAAAATTATTTCAATAATATCTAACAGGAACGGGCCTCATCTGCAAGCACTCTTGCATTACTAAACTTTTTGTGTATTTTAAATTAATGTACATTCAATAATATTAAACTTTCCTCTTGTGTATTTTAAATTAATGTATATTTAATAATATTAAACTTTCTTCATCTGGATATAACCTGCATCCGCTTACTTCTCATGTAAGTTCTTTTGCAAGTGTATCTAAAGCATCGACCACCGAAAATAAATTTCCTTTCCTATTTGGTCTGTTTTGGTTTCATCTCGAGTTTTCCCATTATTTTTCTGTGTGTGTTTCATTCTCCATTCTTGCTTTGAAAACCTTGAAACGTTCGCATTGATTTGTGTGTTCCTTGCGTTTGATTGTTGAACATTTGTTTTATATTTTATTTTTTTTTTATTTTTTTGTGTGTAGCACTTGCATTTAATTGTATGAAAATTAATTTGACATTTAATAGCTATACTGCTGTTGCATGCCTGATGATTTCTTTTTATATTTATTAAGTATTCATTGTTTTTTATATGTTTGCCTGCTGCAAACAAATGGCCGGCGCATATTTTATATATTGTTTGCACTGTCACGTGTCGCCTACCAATGATGCCTTCTGCATATTATAATTATGAATTGTCCAAATAAATCAGACGAGTAGCGACCTGTTAATGTGTTGATAATTGCCGGCCAAGTGCTGTTCAATGTGTTTATGTCTTGTTATAGAGGTATACATTTGGTATTCGTATATTGAAAGGGTATATTGTGTGTTTACAGATCTCTGCATTTGCACCTTTTATAGGATCAGCTTTACATTAAGAATAAAAAAATCGATATCCTTTGTAACAGGAAGACATAGCAAACAATCCGCTCTGTATAACGAAAAGATACAGATACTTGAGAGTTCCGTCTACGAGTTAAACCGCAATGGCCAACCTCAAGTACGGGATACTTCATTGTCGAGACACGCGACTATAGCGTTCTCTCGTATAAAGTTTGAGTGCGTGGAGTACGTGGCGTATACTTTATTAATACATAATTGAGCAAAAGTAATGCAAAGAATGCGTTGAATGCATGATGCGAAAGAGAGGGAATATGAAATGAGAGAAGGCAAATGAGGTGGGATTAAAAGGAGTATGCGAATAATTGAACAAATTTAACTGTGCATTTCAATTAATTTCCGTTGGTAGCCATTTTTTTATTAAAATATTTAAATTGGTTTAAATGGTTTATAACAGAAATATTTTTGTTAAAGACTATGTATTTTACGTGTTTATCATATTTATGTTATTGAAAATACCAACACTGAAATGTCAAGCTTCTATATGTGTATAAAATCAATTCTTTCACTATTTAAAAATGTTGAACACCTAGTTTTTCTATTTTCCCATTGGCATTGTGAGTAATCAGATACAAGTCTTCTGCTAACCTTTCATCTTAATCAGTATATGATTCGCCTCAAATATATGTTTACATAAGATTCATAAGATACACACATGTAGGTATTTCTACGAAACCTAAGACAATTTGACTTGACATCTGAAAAATGTGTTTATATGTACTTTAATATCTTAAGTATCATAAACACACTATCTTAAGAATTTCAATTACCTACATACATATGTATGTGCGTATAAGTAATATTTACTTAACTACTGAAATTTTACCTACGGTTTGAGTCTCTGTTAACTATACAAGCTTTTGCAAACTCACTCTTAAAGCTTTAACATACAAGCTTAGACTAGTTAAAAGCTTTACCTTAGTTGTCTTGACTAACGCAGTCATAGCAAAGCGTTAGGCTGCACATGAGGAGATAAATAAAAAGAAATGCAACCAACGGAAAACAAAGAAATTTTATATTATAAATATGCAGAACTAAATTTTAAAAATTATTTTACCTGCTTTCAAATACCTATACCTATCTGGCTTAAAAAAATTTGCACAAAACTTGACAACCCTAGCCAATAACCAAGGAGCCCCCAAAAGCGACGCAACCAAAGAAAAAGCTCCTCATTTGTCGACACTTTTCCGGCACAACAGACGCAACATTTGCCGAGAGAGCCGCGCGAGCGGATGATAAAATCCAGTGAATAAATTCAAGTAAAAAATTGCAGTACAAAATTAAACAATCCGCTGCAAACAAACCTTAATCTAATTAAAGCAAAACTCGCTAAAGATAATGTGAAAGAAACACAAAAGAAATTCAATCAATGGGAAAGAAAAGGCAGCGGTGAAAAGTCACTGTCCAAAAAAACGGGGTATCGTAATGGAATGAGAAAAGGCTTTTTGTGTGCAAGAAAACTAAGTGCAATAAACTGTGAATAATCCCAGAATTAGCGGCGTGTGCATCGTGCGGTCCTCTGGGTGGGGAATTGGGCCTGGATTCGGTTCCATTCTATTGCTGGATGTCCAGATTTATATTATGCAAATTAATTTCAATTGGTTTGCACTCTGGATACAGCATTCTGTATGCGGCTCTGTTTATTGTTGCGGTTCCTGCTGCTGCTCTGTTGCTCTTCGTCACTATAGTACTCGTATACCACACCGTAGTACTTTGCACTACTCGTAGTAGTAGTAGTATTAGTAGTAGCCGTAGTACTATCACCAGTACAAAGGTGTAGTCTTCCTGTTTTTCGTATACATAAATTTGCCAAAAATTTTCCCTCTCAGGTGTAACCAGTACCTGTTCCCATTCCCACTTCAGTTGCCCATTCCCCCTCCCATTTTCATATTCCACATACGAATATACTATATAGGACTCCATAACAAGTGTGTGCGTGTCTTGGCTTGATTTACCGGCTTTTCTGAGGGTTAAAACTATGAGCATAGTTTTCCCAAGAATTTTTTAATCATACAGGAATGCAGTGTGCACAAAAAAGAGAGAAAGAAAAGCAGCTGGCATAAAACGTAGCGCAAGCTTTACGTCAAAATGTAATTAAAAACTGTGTTGGGGGAAAAGCTCATGTTGATGGAAAGGCGAGTGCTTTGAAACTATCACAGCTGCCAATTACAAGTAATTTTAGCTCACATTAAAGCGGGTAATTTTATAAATATTCGCTCAACTTTGTTATAAGTTCACCCGGTAAATGTGGCACCTGGGAGATGTTTGACATTTGCTTTAATTGTTGATTTCTCACTGAGAAGTTCCTGAAACTCAATAAATTGGGTGATTAAATACGCTTGCAGTAGCTCTAATCTTTTTGACACCGAATTATTTCTTAATCTTGGCATTTCCTGTAAACAATTTAGAAATCTTTAAATAGTTATGCGGATAGCTTTCAGTAATTGAAATTAAATAAAGCTGTTAAAAATTGTTATTATTATTATATAACATTTATTGAAAAGATAACTTAAAGCAGATTAAACAATAAACACTTATACAAACATTTTCTATGGATTTTCTTAAGGTAGCACCTTCAAAGATTCCCCCTTTAGATGTTACAAAAACCTTCTTAAGTTTTTCCAATGCTTTGGACTTGTTTATATTTTATATTTTTAAATTAGCCAATTTAAAGATAATTATCAAAGAACAGAATTAAAATCTTTTATCATTACCTGAAACTTGAAGACACATATCCATAGTTTTTCTTAAGGTAGTACTTCCAAAACTTTTTGTACAACAATTCAACTAATTTAATTTAACATAAAAAAAAGTGGAACCATAAAAACACAAAATTTAATCAAGATATAAACTCAAACCCCTGCCGCATACGAAATGCAGCTCGATTGTAGTTTATTAAAAGCTGACTAAAAATAATGTCTCCGCATGACCATAATATCAATTACAATTACGTGGACCGAACCGGAAGATTCGCTTTCAGAGACCAACAATGAGAAAAAAAAAAATGGCTTGCACGAGACTCTCATTATAGTGTATAAGGCAGCACACACAGAGAGGAAGATATCGAAAAAGAAGCCAAAAATACAGACTTGTAATATGGCAAGACAACATTTATATGGTGCAGCAGTCAGTCAGTCACTCTTCTGTAGTCTGTGGCCACCGGGAGAGCAAAGCTCAGCGGCACAGCCCCCCGTCAGCACAATCACAGCAATTGCTTCCAGACCGATGCGACTGACAGGCAGACAGACTGGCGGACAGACTGGGTAGAGTTCCACAATAATGGGGAACCACTGACATAGCAGACCACACTACAGACATCCATCCATTCCATGTGAGCCGGGACTGCGTCGAGCGGCGGTAGTTGCACAATTTTGCACAAAAGCCAAAGCATAATCATGAATAATGAGCGTTTGTGATAAGTGATAAATGCCCAGTGGCGAATGCATACGGAATATGAATAAGAAGGAAATTGTTTTTCTCGTTATGGAATGGGAAAATCATTGCTTTTTTATAGAGAAATCATGAGAAGTAATGGTTGAAACGTGTATAAATAGTAGGGTTAGAACTATGGAGCAGTTAGAGTTCCTTTCCAGGAATCTGTCTCTCTCGACTATTAAGAATTAAGATGAGCTCAAATATTAATTTAATTTTCTCTCTTAATATTTAATATTTCCTTTCTTGGTGCAAATTTATATTGCAAACGAAGCTGTCACCGAAAATGCCGAACGAACGTGTCACGAAATTTTCCATCTACCAGAAATACAATAGGTTTTAATTTTCCAAAGTATTAATGGACAGGAGTATCCAAAAAACTTTTTAAAAATCTAAGCAAGAAAATTGTAAAAATTCACTTTATTTTCTTCATAAACAAATATATCCCTACTGCTTCAGAATTCCATCATGCCCACTATGCCAGACAAACAGGTTTTCTCTTGGGGCAGAGCCATCCAATTTCCCAGTGGGCATCCGGTGAGCCCGTTTTCCTCTGCCTTCTGTCTCTGCTTCTTGCATAGTCTCTTGTTTCTGGTCTTCCAGTCGGGCGCTTCGCCCACCCCATGACCAGAGCCCAGACGCACAGGTCCACAGGTCCGCAGTATGAAACGGGAAGCGGTTCAGTTCGGTTGAGTTCAGTTCAGTACGCCAAATGCGCGCCAAAGGTGAAAAAGCAAGCCAAATATTTATTCTGAAAATATTATAAAATTCAACAGAAATTCTGGCGATCCATTCAGAGTAAAAAAAAGTCATCCCAAGAGTGCAATTTTTTTGTTTGTGTACATTTTTCGTGGAAGTTATTCTCCTAGTCACTTTGATTAGTTTTAGTTGCCGCCAAGTGTTTGTCTCCTCTTTTTCTGGATTTATTTACGCCGTAGTTTGCCGTTTAGTTTTGTCAACTTTAATTGAAATTAATTTACTTTCTTCACATATCTGTCAGATGTGTTTGTATCTGTGGCTTTATCTGTATCTGTATCATCGTATCTATGTAAATGTATCTGTGAACACATGACGCCGACGCGATCTCGAGCAGCCTTGTATGCGATCAGATCCGAGCGCAGAGGTCAGCAAATAAGCAAATTGTCTCATATGATGGTTTACTATATACATATGTACATTTATGTAGATACGATTTATTTGCAAATTTAAAATAAAATCTGACAAAAGAGGATCACGACGACTGGAAGAGTGTGCAAAAATTTAGCTCCGGGTTTTCTTGATTACCATATATTTTGCATCGTATAAAGATAATGGGGGGAGGGAACCACAGCGCCCTACCTCTTGGGCATTTCCACCAAAACCAAATATGCACCCGACTGCAATCAAATGTAAATCCAATCGTGATGATCCCAAGCCAAACTATTCTAGGCAGCTCACTGCTATAAATATATATATGTATGTAGATTTACATATCTTTTTTATAGAGACAAAAAATGCGATGAAATGATTTGCATACAAAACACTAGAATACCCCGCATTGAGTAGTGGTAGGGAATGACTTGAATTTCAATAAGTTTCAGCGTTTGCAAACTCATCAAAATCGCCTTTGATAGCGTGCTCAATTATAAGCCTTTTCTCTTCTACTCCCGGACACAGCTCTTGACAATTATGTAAAGCTTCTCTTGGCCAAAAACTTATACACAAACGAAAATGAATAAACTCGTGGTACCGTAAAAACTATCAAAACCAAACAAAAAAAATAACTGAGAAAAACAAGTGGAAAAACTAGAAGAACATTAAACCAAAAAAAAAAAAAAAACTCGAATATAACAAAGGGAAAACACTCTGAAAGTGCTAGCAATTAAAAATAGTTTCACAAATTGCTAACAAACAAGCAGGAAATAAAGGGAAACCCGAAACTTGAATGTCGCGCAAAATGTTGCAAGTGCCGGTGGCAACATTTCTGTTGCTGTTGCTGCTGCAGAGTGCCACAGCCTCTCCAGCTGCAGCTGCAGCTGCCTCCCCAGATGCATCCACCATCAGCTTTCCTCTGGAACGTCAAATCGATGCCAGTTTGAAGAATGCCAAGCAGATTGAGAGCAGAGTGCTGCCCGAGTTGGATGGCCTGCAACGCAATCAGGAAGATGAGAAATGGCAGCAAGTCGTCCGGTTTATTGACGATGGTTTTCCCGTCCTCGAGCTGTATGCCTATAAGTTTAAGAGGGGTGAGTACCGCAGTGGAACATTCTATGCGTATAAATTCGTAATTGGGGGAATTGTATAAAAAAAAAGGTTATTCCACTTTTCAGCAGAATATTTTATTGTATTACTTTATAATTCTGAAGTATAAAATTACGAAACTTTTATCAAAACTGCACAAAATATAAAACTACCAAAAAAATTGTTACAGCCTTCCATTAATCACGTACCCCCTGCTAAGACCTCTCATTACGTCTCAGAAGTGCCATACTATTCACGTAAATGCTGTTCGAAAACATGACCCATATCCAGCCCGTGCTGAGGACTTGCCAGATATGACCACGATTCAGCCAAAAGACACTCACTTCACTGTTATCGGCTCCGCTATGCATGGCCAATTGGTAGAGAATATTAGAATATTAGCAACTAAGAAGCAAGAAAATTTGTAAAAAGACGAAAATTTGTGTAGAAAATTCTAACTGGCGTCTGTTGAAGCGGGATAGTTTCAAACCATAAAAGGAGTAGAGCAGAGAATTTCGTGGGACATATTTGAAAATGTTGCAGCACTTGCAACAGCTGCAGTACGGACCGACAGTTAGACAGGACATGGCGAACTGGTTACCAAGCTTCCACAAACTACCAAAATGGGTGGCCATATGGGAAAAATGGGATTGTGTGACGTTGATAAACGACTTCGTTCAACTGTCCAAATGTTGATCATAAACAAAAACTACTTCATTTACCTAATAGACATGCTATAGGAAAGCAAAAAAATGATGGAATTGAGGGAGGTCAAGTCAAAGCTTTTAATGCACTTACTTCTGAACTTTTCGCCATATTTAATTATGGTTAATATCGAACCAATCTATCATAAAGCTGACAAGGAAACGAAGCATCGATGGAGAAGAATAAGCGCATTTGGGATACAAATTTAATTCATCTTTTAGCATGCCATTACTTATATATTTGTATATTTAGTATATCAAAGAATACAATTGCAAAATTCATTGTAAAAATTACAAAAACTCTTTTCAAAAGTCCTCAATTAAATCCTGTTACAGTACATCTCCAACAATGGCTTATACGAAATCAGCTACTGTCCTTAAGCTTCTGATTATGTTTGAGATATTCTGTACTATTCACGTAAATGCTCTTCGAAAACATGGCCCACGTCCAGCCCGTGCTGAGAACTTGCAAGATATGGCCACGATTTATGCGAAATACATTCAATTCGCTTTTGTCCTTTCCATTTTGTAGGGCCAATCGATATAGCGAAAACATTTGTAACTGGGGAACCAGAAAGTTAAGACACAAACAAAAGAATTCTTTATATTCACCTGACGCTCAGGCTTGAAGTTATGCCCTGAACTTTCCAAACTCTCTTTGGGCAGAGTCGATAGCCAGATTGATGTAGACAAGACTCAGCGGATAGGCAAAGGCGAGAACAAGTGCATAGAGGTAGCGACCCAGTACTCGCTTCTCAAACAAGTACAGATGGAGGCAGCTCACGAAGAAGATGAAGTCATCCATCATACAGATCCAAATCAGGGGTCTTACGAGAGACTCCAACTTTCGCCGCAATTTGATCAGGTTCTTATAGTAATCAATCATTTGTATTAACTGCTGTCGGTTAGGACGAGATGTTGGCAGCTTGTAGCAAGAGTAGAGGATCAGAAGACCCAAGTGGGCAGTAAGTCCCAGAAAAAAAGGCTGAATGCAGCCGAAAAGATACCCCGAGCTACGTAAATAAGTACACAATATAGAGTTACTGGACGTAAATGGAATCATGCCGAGCAGAGATCCGCGCGTGGTTATGGAAACCATTTTCATTATGTGTATGAGAAATAAACCCCAATTAATTTTGGGCCCCTGTCCACGTATACTCCGGTATCTATAATATATTCGCACAAATCTATTGAGTAAGTCCCGCATCTGCTTCCGCTGATATATATAGCTATAGGCAATACTGTAGCTTATGAAAATTGTATTATTGGATATAAAAAAACGCGTTGCCATGTATAACAGATTCAGAGCATTGTCACTGCCCGGTTTCAAGTTCACTAGGACATCTATGAACTCAAGGATGAAAAATATCGAGTAGAGTAGCAGGATCGTCAATAGCCAGGGTCGTAGCCAGAAGCCGTGGAATACTCCCACGGCCAAATTCAACTGGGAGCTCAGCCGGAATGTCTGCTTTTGTGGAATATATTTGTAGATGTTGCAACCCGTAATCGTTGTCAGCACTTGCAACAGCTGCAGTATGCTCGTTAGGCAGGACATGGTAAAACTGTCGCTCGGTGCCTCACAGTTCTCGATGCTTTGGAAGGTCCGTAAATGGCCAAAAGGGGAAATATTGGAAAAATGGGATTGTGTGACATTGATAAATGACTTCGTTCAACTGTCCAAATGCTGATCATAAACAAAAAACTACTTCATTTACCTAATAGACAGACTATAGGAAACCAAACCAACGAAAGGCAAAGCAAATACTGCAATACACTTCCGTTTTCTGAACTTCCGAGCTTTTCGAATTATGCTCGGGTGATATATACCTCAGGGATATATGCACTTATATAGATAACGATGAAATGTTACTAGTTTACATCAGGGGACATTTAAGCTTAACAAAATGTCTGAAAGATATTGAGATGGGATTGCAAACGTCAGTGGAATAAAATTTCCTTGTACTGGACACAGATACTAACATTATTCGTAGAAAAGACTACTCGAGAAAGTTTAATATAAAAGTGTAATATATATATATATATATATATAAATATTAATATCCTCCCAGTGGTATAGAGAGTTTAATTTTAATAATAATTTTAAATAAGGAAATTTTGTTGTATGGATATAAGAAATACCGATATTATTCAGCTTACATACTCTTATAAAAAAAGGATTTCTTTTAAGTGATTAATGGTAATGCCATTACAGATAAATCTCATGATTAAAATGTTATTCCCCATCTTGCGTGGTATAGCTAATATATCATTTTATAGATAGTGTAACTTAAACGAAAAAATGAGAATAAAAGCATTTGGGAGTCAAACGAGTTGACAAAAAAACTATGATAAATGAATAGTAAGCAAAATCGAAATAAAAATAAGTTAAAAATCAAAATAAATATAAGCTAAAAAAAAGCTAAAAACAAAAAAGGTTTGAAAAAACTTAACGAAGTCATTTAAAATAAATTGGATGTATTTTATCAATAAATCATTTGGGAAAACCCAATAGAAAATCAATCTGATATGCTGCAATGATATACTGATATAAGTTGTGAAAGACAAATCCAATTTAAATACAATTAAACTAATTAAGAATAAAATGGAAATATTAAACACCAAATTTGGTTACTTGGCGGAACCCTAAAAGCTTATTACCTCATTAGGCATCATGGCGAATACCTCCCCGAACAGACACCCACCCACAGCACAACATAAGAATGTATATTTTTATGTGTGCCGCATAATAATGTGATATAATTAACCCAGCATATTCCCCTGCCCAGACGGGAGTCTTCTCGTCTGGCATTACACGAACACACCCACAAAAAGAAGAGGCATACAGGCCCCGAAGCACAGCCAAAAGTTAATTACTTGATTAGCATGCAGACAGGTAGGGGCTTCAGGAGGGTTAGCCGTAAATGAAATGAAAACAGTTTACATTTTTAAGTGAGCAATTCCCCAAGTAACTCTCTCCTTCTCTCTGTCTTTATCTCTTCTATCCCTGCATATGTATGTATATGGGCCGATTCCAATTGCAGATATCCCATATACATTGATTGTGCCTAAAATCGATGTGCGGACCATCGAGAAGCCGCGTCTGAAGGAGTTCATGTTGGAGCATATGGTGCCTGGTAAACTCTTTGACAGCTATAGCGGTGTGGCCAACAGCAAGGAAGAGGAGGAGTCATACGGCAATGGGAACGGACATAAAATCGTTTTTCGTAAATTGGAAAAATCCCACAACAATGTTTGGCTACTCAATGGACAGCAAATACTCTACAAGCTGCGTATCAATGAGAATTTGATGGCCATTGGAATTGATGGTTATTTGGGCGATAGGAAGTCGCCCTACTCCAAGCGGAACATACAGGAAACGAACAAGTGAGTAGAGCCCTTTCGTTACGTTACAGTGGGACCAAGTCCCATCTTAAACACCTTAAAGCAGTGACTTGAAAACTTTTCATTCAAGATGGACATGTTTGATAAGGAGCATTTTGGTTGCCATACAAATTGGTGGTTGCTAAAGTTGATCTATTCAGTTATACTCACATATGTATATCTCCCAAGCACATACATATCTAATATACATATGTAGCTTTGTTTTGTAGGAAAATAGTGAGATTGATAAATCAATTATTGTAGATAGATTGACAGTTAGTTGAATATATGTATGTATTTAGCAATCAATAAATAGCTTTTGATGAATCATACAAAAGTCTTTAAGAGTTTTGACCACCGATTGGGCACTGCAACTGCAACTGCAATTTTGGGGGCTTGTCTCGCACCACTGTGCGGTCCTATCTAGCGAGTACCAAGTTCCCCCCCTAGTCCTAGTTTGTTTGCGGTCAAAAGTGCACTCATGCGAAATTTATCAGGCCGCAAACAAAGTTTTTGCTGGTCCAAACTTTCAACACACACAGACACAGAAAAACACACATTTAGATTTTCCTTTTCCGCATCTGGTAAAGGACGAATCGCTGCATAAACATACATATGTACATAGATATATACATATATAGTATAATATAGTATAACCCATTTGTATATACATCTATCTGTGCCCATCCATCGCCCCTTATAGCCGCTACAATGACCCGCAGCCACTGGAACAGCCGAACATTACGAATGCACATGCCAAAGTGGAGCCCATTATTAAGGAGTCGAAGGCCAGTCCGCTGATGTCGTTTTTGGCCAACATGAAGACAGGCACAAAAGTATTCCAACACTTTCTATCGAAAAGCAATCTGACACGCATAATGGATGACAATGCCTATACGGTGCTGATACCCTCGGACAATGCCTTCCAGCGCTGGCATCCCATCGATTGGGGCTTCTATCCGTTCAGTGTGCCAGAGTTCACCGAGTCGGTGCTGCTCAATCATTTCCTGCCCATGCAGCGGCCCCTCCGACTCTCGGATGTGAGGAACATGGACGAGGTCGTCGTTCACACCATGGGCGGTGATGATGTCGTCTTCCATGGCCAACGTAAGTGGGCCCCATAAATTATATTCCAAATTCAATTTATGACAACATTTTCTGCTCCTTGGCTCATTCTTTGCTCATCCACCCCCCGCCCTCTCTAAATAGCCACCCCCACGGTGAATAATGTCAGCATTATGTCCGACTTCACCCTCTCCAATGGCAATCAGGTGTTTATTATATCGGAGGTGCTCTTTGTCACCGAAGCCGTCGTCTCCAAATTGCACCAGGTAACCCGGTTATGGCTTATCCAATTCTGGTCTAATGTTGTTCTTCCTGCAGATGCACAAGGACAAGGAGACTCCACCGTTGCTGGCATTCCCCTGGTTTGGGGCACAGTTTTTGTCGCATTCGTTTTTGGCCTTGGAAAGAGATCCACGCTTTACCCAGATAACTAGGTAAGAATTGATTGTTGGATTATTATTTGAGATATGCTGGGCTATGTCTTCTATTTTATGCCCTCCCCAAAAGATATCTAAACAACGCAGAGATTGCTCCCCATATCTCAGGAGCCAATTACACCTTCTTTGTGCCAGAGGATCGGGCCTTTGAGAAGCTTGGCTTCGATCGACTTTCGGACGAGGTTATGGTACGTATTCATGGACAAATTTCGGCAAAAGATGAGTAACTAAACCTTCGACTTTCTAGGCCTCTCAACGGGGAATAAAAATGCTCTTAAATCACTTTGTACGCGGCCGTCTTTACAATCGTGATCTGCGCGATAATGAGGTATACGAAACGATCGGCGGCGGTCACATAAAGATCACACGCAATCCGGGCAGCAACTATACGAGCGTCAACAATGCCCAGATAACGGAGAGTGAGGTATTCGTGTACAACCTGGGCACCATGTACTATCTGGATGACATCCTGTACTCGCATATACTCCGTGATTTCATCAGCAAATCGACCAAAACGAGATCGAATCGAAATGGCGGCGACTCTGGCGGAGGATCGCGCAGCACTTCCCGTCCCAGCGATGTGGAGATCGTGCCCAATGAGTTCGAGAGCGAGCACAATGGCGGCGACTATGCCATCCATGGCGATGACGAGGACTTTGAGGATGAGATCATCACGCCAAAAGCGTTGCCCGTCCAGATCTATGAGTTGCCCAAGTAGAGAGACAGAGAGAGATAGCAGGTTAAACCATGAAGAGTGCAGGCAGATCTACTCGCGAAAAGAGACTCAGGCCGAGAGTGCTGGCAGATCCATGTGGATCCATGTGGGGGCGTTTGATATGGGTTTACATAAAGATAAATATAATTTTTTTGCGTGAGGTCTGTATGTGTGGAGAAGAGAGAGAAGAGAGAAGGTGGCGCTTAAAGCGTTTTTGTATAGTTCTGGGCTAATTTTTTTAAAAGCATTTCTCTAGTTTAGTTCATAGTTTCTTGTGTACATTTTAAGTTTAGCATTGAACGAGGCGGTGAAACGAAGTATACTACAAACAGCAACCAGAAGATCAACAACAACAACAACAGACAACGGCAACAAATAAACTATACATACCTAATCCTAAAGAACTTATCAGCAATTTAAACGAAGCTTGTAGACATAGCGAGAAATTGCAAGAGAAAAACCAACAAAAACTATATAAAGAATAAAAGCATTCACGTAATATTCGAATTAGAAACGAAACAACACACAAAACAAAACAAACAACAAATATAAACGAACGAAATTTGCACACAAAATTATTAAGATATATACGTATTACCATAGATACCACCCGTATATATACTCGAACAAATTCAATTAGTGCTCATCGATGTTGATGCTTTTTTGGGTCTCTATCCATATGAGAGAGCATAGCGAGAACATATCCGGCTAAATCGAACCAAAATTCGCGATTGGACACAAAATCCTTGGTCAACAAAAGAAAAAAGAAAAAAAAAAGATATGTACCAGTATCTCTACATCTCTTACGAGCAGATATTGTATTTTTTAATTTAATGACATTAATGATATTGATATTTAATGTACTATCTGTGTATATGAACAAAACAAAACAAAAAGCAATGAGAACGAAACATGCAATTTTATAATAGTTTGTTAAAATAAAAAAGAAAAAATCTTCCAGAATAACAGAGTGTTGTTGTTCCGCTTGTTCTATTTGGTTTTTTTTCGTTGAACTAGTTTTATTATGAATTAGTTAAACTCAATACACATGTAAGTATGGGTAATAATAATCATATATATGGAGTATACGTATATTATATTCTATATGCGGGTGTATAAGTACTACTATATATGCATGTAAATAATACCTGTAATTCTAATTGACTTAAACTATATTTATGTAGGTTTTCTAGTGGGGTTTCTGTAAGATTTTAATGCCGAAACCTAGCATAAATGGATTAACCAAAAGGCTTGGGTACCCCCAACAGCCCACTAAAATATAATGGATATTTTGGTTTAGGCAGTGGAAAATGATTTGGAACTTTTGAAATTATAATTAAATCATTTATCAAATGCATATTGCTTATGGGTAGAATGTGTTCGAGGACATTTATGTATGTATATAGATATAGAGTGTGTGTGTGTGTGAGTGCTTGATATGGCGCTTATGACACAAAAAAATTCTTCATTGAACTACAAACTAGTTTATCCAACATAATATTCGATCTTGAGCTTTGGCTGGTTACACAAAATGTTGCCCCTTATATGTATTGTAATGCTATCAAATTCTACCATGTGAATATTTTTCTCTTAAGTATAAATATTTTATAAAATTTTTAAAATTGAATTCGAATTTGATCGGTTTTTTTTTTTTTGGTCGATTCGATTTTGAATTTTCATTTTTTGAGATCCAATTTTTAGGAGAGGAGCAGCGTTGGGCCAAATGACACAAAAATTAACACAAAACTAAAAAAAATAGTAAATTAAAAGCTGCTATTAAAAACAAATTGAACTACAGCCGATTTTAGTCGTGGTTCTCATTCACATTATTCTGGCTGCTGCTGCTACTGCTGCTGCTGGCGGTGTTAGGGCATTGAGGGTTATTTTGACTGCTGGTTGTCTCAGTCTCATTATCACTCAAATTGACAGGAGGATCCACAGGCAGATCCACCGCCTCCACTTCCGCAATAGACACTTCCACAGCTGCACCACCCACAGCACCCTCGAGTTCGTCGGGCAATTCCACTGGTGCTGGCGGCTTCGGCTTGAAACTATTGTTCTCCGCATTCAGCTTGTAGTTCTTGAAGGGATCCCCCGGTTTGGCGGCAGATGGCTGCGCCTGCTGCTGCTGCTGCTGTGCCTGGGCTGCCTGGCGTTGTAGGCGTCGCTGTTGATTGCTGAATGTGGGACTCTCGGATCTCGCACGCTGCAGCATCGGACGCTGATGGTGGTAGCTGGGATCGTAGTCACGCGAGCGTCCAAATTCGAAGCCATTCTGCCACTGAACGTGCACATTCTCGTACGAGGGATCCTCGTATCTGTAATTTGAGGCCGCTGCTCCATTCTGATTACGCTTGTCGGCTGCTCCACACCGCAATCGACTCAAAGTGCTGTGAAGAGGACGGGCCGCTGCATTTGGATCCCGACGCATGGTAGAGGAAACAGGCGAAGCTGCACAGGATCCACTGCAGGAGCTCTGATAGCGAACCATGTCCTGGGGCAAGCCACCCAAACGTGGTGTGCCATAGGGATTCGACATCTGAGAGGCCACGGAGGCGGTGTCGCAGCTAACGCAATCCCGCGAAAACATAAAGTTAAAGTCGATCACCTACAAGGAAATAGATGAGTCAGTATCCTTGGTGGTGCTGTAAAGTGAATTCTTACCTTGCAATCGGGCCCCTGGCCGATCCACAGTGGCAGCCATTTGTTCACCAGCAGCCACTGCAGACTGGACTTGGATATGCGGTTCAGAGTTCCGTTTCCGTTTCCGTTGGCATCTCCGGAAGAACTTGATCGGGCTGTCGTCGATGTCGATGCCGATGTCGTTTTTTTGGCCAAGGCTGCACTCTTGACTCCCGCCGTTGAGCCGCTCTTGACGCCCGCCGTTGATCCACTCTTGACCGACGCAGTGGATCCACTTTTGTCTAAGCCAGCGGTAGATGGAGAAGTAGAAGAATTAGCCGACTCCTTGGACGCCTTGCTGGCCGCCTTTACCTTGGGTATGGCTCCTGTTGGGCGTGTGGCACTGCTCACTGATGAACTGGAAGCGCTTTCCGGCACGGATGGATCCTCTACGACTGCTCCCGTGGCTCCAGCGGAGGCGGAGCGTGCCGCACGCTCCATGGACACATTCGGCGTTAGTGGAGAGTTGTGGGCAGCCATCGCCGCTGCTGTCGTCTTGTAAATGTTGGTCATGCTCTGCGAATTCTCGCCGTGCAGGCAACTAAAGAAACTCGATGCGCTGTTCTTCACGGGCACCTTTACGTTGCCGTAATCCATTCCAGCGGCTGCAGCCGCTGCCGCAGCGGCACTAGCACTCCCCACATACGCCTGACAGCTGGGCACGTTGCAAGTGCTGCTTCCTGCTCCTCCACTCGCAGTCGTGCCGCCTGCCCCATTGGCATTGAGGCGTATGTGCCCAACTGTTCCGTAATGCGAGTGTCCCAGCACAGCGTAATGGCCTCCCAGATTATAGTGATCAATGTTGCCGCAGGAGGAGCTGAGGTGTCGCTCGATTCGTCCTATGCCATGCCCCAGCACATCGAGGCGTGTATAGAGCGGCACTCGGTTAGCGGCAGTGGGTCGATAGATGGGCTCGTCGCGTATCTGCTCGTAGATGTTCTCATAGCGCATTGTGCCAGCTGTGGCATAGGGCAGATTGTAACCATCGGTGGATTCGGTGTCGTCAAAGCTGCGCTGACGCTGACAATTCGAGCGACTGTTTGTGTAGAGTGGCGTGCAACGCAGTCCGGTGCCATAGCGATTGCCTAAAGGGTATCAGAAAAACATTGTTTACGCTTTGCTACTATTTGCTTGCAGCTCCTTCTTACCATTCTGCATATCTATGCGAAAGTTTCGACGGTATCCCAGGCCTGAGCGCACTGCTCGTGGCACATCGTAGGCGGCCGCAGCCGTAGCGGCGTTGGTGCCCAGCATCCCCGCACCAGCTATAGATCGATCGTATAAATCATTGCGATAGTTGTTCATTGGCAGTACGCGTTGCTGTGGCGGTGGTGGTGTGGGTCCTGGCTGTGGGGGTGGATTCATGTTGGCATTGGCTTCTGTTGGCGCTGGTTGGGGCGGCTGTTGAGGTGCCTGTTGGATCACCAGTTGTGGCGCCTGTTGAGGCGCTTGTTGGGGTGCATATGAGGGTTGAGCTTCCTCAACATTTGCAGGGGCATTGACATTGGCGGCGGCCACAATTTGATTATTGTTGGGCTGACCGATTGGCGCATAGATGTTCTCGTAGTGTGGATGATTTGGGAGCTGAAGAGCCGCCGATGGCTGGACTGGAGCTGCTGCAGCAGCAGCCGCTCCAACTGGTGGGATATTGCCATAAATGGCACCACCAATGGCACCCTCCATCGTCCCCTCAGCCTGGCTGTTCTCATCATCCATCAGTGCTATGGCCAACGAAGCCGCTTGGCTGTAATCGAACGCATTAATTAGACTTAAGTGCAGGGGATCAGAAACCCCCCATTCGAGGGTTCACACTTACCGTGCCAATGCACCCTGCTCTTCCATTCACATGGGCTTATCGATCATACAGACGCCCGCGTAGCTGCGTCCAATGGTCATCAGGGCGGGCAGGATGCGCCAGCTGTCCGACTCCGGGCAGTAGACCTCCACGGAGGCCAAATTGGAGGTGCCATCATCGCCCCCGACCACATAGAGCAGCCCCTCGTGGGCCACCACGCCGGCATTGCGGCGACAATAGGACATGTCCGACACTGAGCTCCAGGTGTTGGTCTCACAGTCGTAGGCTTCAACGGACTTGCGTACCATGGGCCCATCGTGGCCCCCCACCGCATACAGGATGTTGTTCATCACTCCCACGCCGGCTCCACTGCGACGGGAAGACATCTCGGCGATGGCTGACCAGGTGTCTGTGTCGAGATTGTAACGCTCCACGGAGGACAAACACTGGCGGGAGAAGCCATCGTAGCCGCCGACGGCATAGAGCAGGCCATGGACGACGCCCACACCCACGGAACTGCGACGCGTGGACATGGATGCAATGAATCGCCAGATATCAGTCTTGGGGTCGTACATCTCGGCACTGGAGAGTCCGGTGGTGCCGTCGAATCCGCCCACGGCAAAGATGCAGCCGTTGAGGACAGCCACGCCCAGAGTAGATCGCCGGGCCTCCATGTTGCAGCATTGGGCCCAGTGATCGGTGGCCGGATCGTACACATCCACCGTGCGGACACGCAGCGCACCGTTGAAGCCACCCACGGCATAGACCTTATCCCCCAGCACACTCAAACCGGAGCGGCAGCGACGATTGGGCATCTCGGCAGCCTGGTACCACTTCTCCTCGCGCAGATCGTACCACTCGACGGCACGTATGGCCTTGGGTGCCTGGCCGCCAATCACCAGCAATATTTTGGGCATGCCCACCGGCTTCCGGGGCACTGTACGTGCGGATTTCGTCTCCGTGGGCAGCAGGTGATAGGTGAGGGCCTCTATGATGAGATTCTTGCATATAATATTCCCCTCCAGCAGCATTTCCTTGTCCACGCGCTGTGTAATGTACTCCTTGGACAGGAACGGCAGGCGCACATGCTCCATCAGGGCCGAGGTGAACTGCTCCCGCATGGGCACATCGTAGCGCAGCCAGGCGATCACACACTCGTAGACGCGCTCCTCATTGGGCACCGAAATCCGATCGTTTCCTATCAGGTTGATAACCTGCTCGTGCGATAGATTCAGAAACTCATCGAACTGGATCACCTCGCTGCAGCACAAAAAGGCAAAAACAAAAATAAAGCAAATAAATCAGTCAGTAAATTCGGGCCATAAATGTTGAATGTTGGCGGAATATGGGATTGAGATGGAGATTCAATAAATGGCAAATAATAAACCGGTTGATTATAAATTGCTTTCAATGTTTTACAATTAATGAAATGTATACAATCCAAATCGAATCCAAACGAGTTCCAGAACGACTAAATATAGGGCTGACCTTGCTGATTTTGCACAAAATCTCAGAGAGAATTGATTATGGAATAACAAAACCTTATCTCAGCTCGTCAGTCTGTCCGATTGCGTTCTCTGTGGTAAAAATATTTGCCATTTGATCTTGACACTCACTTGAAATGCTCCTCGATGTAGGTCTCCGCATAGTTCAGCAGCTCCGCGCAGGCATGAAGATCGGCAAACTCGCGTATGCCCAGACAATTGCTGGCATCCAATTGGGTCTGCAGGTAATCACAGCAGGCATCCCGCACATCGGTTAGCTGCAACAGATTGGCGGCCGTCAGCAGGACCTGTACATTATCCTCGTTCACCTCCACCGTTGCCGTGTACACATAATTGATGAGCAGTTCCAGTGCTCGTGCATCCACGCTCTGCAGTGTGATTCGCGCCTGACGCGACTCCTCGAAGCTGTTGAACATTGCATAGAAGTAGGGACTGCACGAGGCCAAGACCATGCGATGGGCATGAATCTCCACATCATCGGCCACCAATATGACATCACAGAGTTGTTTTTGTCTGCAAAACGAAGAAGCAAAGAAACCGAGAGTATTAGTAGGTGTTAAATGGTTTAATCAATATGAATGATATCGCTTTTTATGTTTGTTTGTTTGTTTGGTGTTAAAAACCTGATTTATATTTGCTCTTCTTAACCGAAACTGATCTTGGGGGAGTTCTTCATTCTCTGTGTGTTCTTCGTGTACCTGGGCCGTTTTCTGTACATCTTCCTGTTGAATCTTTTGTGGTTCTGAATTCAAAGGGAAAGTTTTCTGATGGTCATCTTTCCTAGGTACATATATTCATATGACTCCCAGTATCCTCCGCTTAAATCCTGTGCTCAACACGTGTTCGCTCACCTTAATGTTACAACACATTCACTTTTGGCTCTGAGACCACCACTATGGATTTGGTTTTTGGAAACTGGTTTCTGGCCATCAAGTAATTTTCCACTCAACTTAAACCAGAGACGCGGAAGCCAGACACCACAACAAATCGACAGAAATCGTTGGGCCATGCGCAAGTTCAAGGTCGTGCTCTAATGCAAAACCAAAAGGCAACGCATACAACCCATTAAAAGTACAGCAACAAAAACTAGACGAACAATTAATACGAATAGCCCCTTGACAAAAGGCGAAGGCAAATATTATACAAAAAAAATGTATGTATAAGCCAAACAGACAAACAGAAAATCAACTGCGCAAATATGCAAAATGCGAATGGGATGCCGCGACGAGACGAGACGATCGTCTGACATTTGCAGTGATTATTATTTTTCAGATTTTGGGCCAAAAGTCAAGCGACTAATCCCACCTGTCCACATCATTTAGTACGTTTTTTTTCTTACTTGCGCATCTCGTTCATGGCATCGAAGGAGCGAATTGTGTGCTGCTCGTTGCTGTATTGACCCACTGTGCCGCGCTCCTTGCCGTTGGGCCGCTGGACGTGCTTCTGCGAGCTCTCGTCCAGGGAGTTCTGCGAGGCATAGCGAAGCAGGCAGCTGCCTCGTTCCAGGCCACTGCCTTCGGCGGCGGTGTTCTGGTGAGCCTGCTGGAGCAGACGTTGTCGCTGGACTGCCGCCACGCCCACGGCAGCCCCCAGTCCAGGCGGAGGAAGAGCTATCATTTCTATGTCCGCACCTGCGCCCCCACCCACAGCATTCCCCTGTCCTGCTGCTGCTGCATTTGGTGGCTGCTGCTGCTGTTGTTGCTGCTGCTGCTGCTGCTGGTTCTGTTGCTGTTGAGGATTGCCATTGCTTAGATTGCTCATAATACCGATCGTGTACTTCGTTAACAATGCACTCAGAGCTATCATTCAGCGGCGTTCACAGCACGCGCGCTAACAAAAAAATGTAGCCCAAATAAGTTTTAATGAAAAATTCTCAATGGCACTATCGATAGTATCGATATTTTACTGATGGCCTCTACTATCGATGGTTTTGAGACTATCATGATAGTATCGAGCTACAGTCGTTGCGCTTTTGATATGTTTGGATTGGCTGTTATAAAATACGAAGACAAATTTGTAAAAAAAATCGACAGGTGGCATCTAATTTGTATAATGGACTAGTTCCTAAAAGGTTTCAATGGTTTTTTAATAATTATTTACCCTTACCTTACCCCCAGAAATATACCATCCTCATTTTCAAAATATACCGTGAATATACCAAGGAAAAAACCAACTTAACCCACTTAAATTCCCAAAGCCAAAATTAAGCCTGCGTATGCAAGTTCCAAAAACCCTATGTTCCTTAATTTACCCATGGAATTGAAATTTAATAAATTTTGGAAAGCGGCACAGAGAGAGAGCTCAATACAACTATGCAAGCTCTTTTGGGAAAATATCATTTGATATTTCATATTACGAATTAATTGAATTTGAGATATTGAATATATGTAGATAAGATTTAATTAATGATAATCGTTTGCGACTCGGTGCGTATTTTAATTTGAAAGAAAAATTTCAATAACGACCTTAACGACCAATAACGACCTTTTCCTTAAATTTATGACTCAAAAAGTCAGGATGAGAACCACAGCGATATATTTTCTCCAATTTTTATAGAAAACCCATTTTTTTTGTTATAGGCCAGTATTTCAAACACTTAACAGAATTTATATTCCAATTAATTTAATTATTAAAGCGAAATTTTAAGTGTCGATTTTACAAAAGGCCATAATCCAGCTAATGTGATCCGGTATTCAGTAAGAATTTAGTTTTTGGATTTACACAAGTTGTCTTTGGAAAAAGTGTACATCTTTCTCATTATATACTTTCAAACTTAAGTTTCATATATTTTTCAAGATGACAAAGGCTAAAAAGTGCACAAAGAAAGTTTACAAGCCCCAAAAAATCGCCCGGCTGACCACAAATGGTTATCTGAATTTTTTGCGACAGTTCAAGCAAGACCATTGCGGACTGTCGCCTAAAGAAATGGTCATCCGTGGTGCCAAAGCTTGGGGGCGTCTAACTAAGAAGCAGAAGGAGACATACCGCAAAATGGTGAGCAGGAAACTCATTCAAATAAATTCCTTCTATTTTAACGTTTATATATCTATAAGCTCCAACATACATTTCATAAGCGCCGTTCCTAGTCCAAGAAAGGGTAAAAATCATACCATTAATTCCTCTACGGAACTACATTTATTATTATTTGTAACCGATCTCTCCTTTAGCCCAAACCTGATGCTGTAGTCTGTCGCCGACCTTGCGTAAGTATGTCCTTAACTGCAGCCAAAAATGATGTCTATGTTTAGTTATATTTCTTAGGTAAGAAGCATGACCAAAGAAGTAAGTTTAAATATTTACAAATAACAAGTATTTCGTTGCAGAACGGCCAAGAAAACAAAACGAAGCCTCTTGCTAAAATATTGCCATTAATGTCGTAAATTTCCAGTGTAATTTAATTTATATAATGTCCAATCGTATTTAATGGTTGACATTTTGAGTGAATGTAAATTTTCCCAGTGCTAAATATTTCGAACTTTAATCAAGTATAACGTTTAGTTCTCTCGAAACATCCTTTGTTTTATAATGTACGTATGTACAGCGAAGGGTATCATCAAGTAGCTGCAAGGTTATAGTAAAAAGTATAAAAGTGAAAAAAAAAACATATTTCGACTTCATTGCTAAATTTGATCATCAACTTTATTTGTGTTTTGGCTTTTTTGTATATCGTTTATACTCATGCTCATCAACAGTTTTGGATATGTAAAATATGTTAGGGTCTTGGAAACAACTGCTTATTGAATGTTTACGAATAACAGCAACCACCTAATAACTAGGAATATATCTTGTATATTGGATAATGCTTAACTATAGCTAATACGAAGATCCAGAATATGTACAATCGAACGTTAAAACAAAGCACTCGCACTCGCGCTCGCGCTCGCACGAAAAATGTAAACTACTTTCAATAAATAAATACAGTGTACGAGAGCAGACATAAATATAAATATAAAGTATAAATGAAATAATTTGAAATTTGGCTAATGAGAGAGTTTTTTACACTAACTATTTTGTATCTGATATATATAAATATATATATGTAGATATTATACATAGCTAAATTTGTTTATATGTACACATAATTTAGATTCCATAAATTACAATTAATGGTTTGTTTTGTTTTGTTTGTAAATAAATACGTACATCGAAATATTACAAAAAATACTTTTCCTTGCGGGGGAAAGCAAAATGCAGAACGAGTTTCTCTAGCAATACTTATCATAGGAGAGTGTGCGGTAGGGCGGGGAGGGAGGAATTGCATTTAGCGATAATACTTAGTAATAGTACAATTAATTGTATCTGATTTTGATTCCACATTTTTTGTTTGCTTTTTTGTTTGCTTTTTTGGGGGGGCTTTTCCGGGGCTTTTTGTATTCCTACTATAACTTTATGGTGGCGGCACACGATGCACTGGGATTGTCTCTAGTTGAGTTTTGGTTTCATTTCTTGCGTTGCGTTGCGTTGTTGCTGCTGCTGTTGCTGCTGCATCAGGCATTGCGCTTGCTGCGCTGCTGCAGCGTAGACGATGACGATGTTGCCATGGACTGATAACAGTTTAGATTCGCCGACATCCGGCCCAAGGCAACGGCCATGCGATGGGGCAGCCGGCACAGCTGCTCGTGTAGATTCGATGAGACAGCTCGATGATGAGGCCGCCTTCCGCTGGTTGCCGCCGCCGACGCCGTCTGCCTGCTGTCCTGTAGTCGAAGCAAATCCTCGTCAGGCTGCACATAGGACAGGTGAACGATATTGACACCCTCCTCATCATCGTCGTCGCTGTCCACTTCCTCGTAGTAGAAGAAGCCCATCGGCTGCTGCTGTGCGGCCGGATGAGCCGAATGCGCCGCGGACTATACGTTGCCGTAGAACGGTACCGGTGTGTGGGCATCGCAGGGCTTGACGCGCAGCTTCTGCTTGTAGTGGTACTCCTTGAGGTAGCTCTTCAGTCGCCCCGGCAGCTCCAGCTGATTGATGCCATCGTAGCTGGTGTTCGAGACGATCGTCGCTCGCGCCAGCTGCTGCAGCGAGAAGGTCTGTCTCCGGTGCAGCGGCATGGTCAGGCAGGGCTCGAAGAACATCACGCAGGACGGATCCTTGTAGTGCTCCAGCAGGCCCGTCACCGTGGGCGCGGTAAACACGCACGGATCATGACAGTCAAAGCTGTAGAAATGCAAGCAAAAATTGCAATTAGTTGGCAGTTCGTTTTGCCACAGAGAGATCTCTCAGGACTTACCTAAACTTGTGACCACTCTGCTCGATGCGCGCGTGCAGCGATCTTCCATATTTGCGGAATGTAACTGAGAAGAGGAACTCCTCCTGGGCCGAGTCGCGCAGCAGGAAGGTGCCCTCCGGCTTGCCCTCGAGCAGATGCTCCGCCTCATAGCGATCCATCTTGCCCCAGTAGAAGCTGCTGTTGATGATCCGCTCCAGATCGGGCACCAGGCAATGCATAAAATCGATCTGCGAGTGCACGGTCACGCTGCGACGGCCATAGGTGAGACGCACTGGAGGACCCTGCTGCTGGGGATCCATCTGCTGCTGCTGCTGCAATTGCTGGTGCTGCTGCTGCTGTGGGAGAATCGTTGCTGGCGCTGTCTCCGTCACCAGTCGAATGTTGGGGCCCACTGTTACCCGGGCATTGGGTGATTCCACCACAAATTGCGGCGAGCTGATGCGTATGATGACATCACCATTCACCGGTGCGGTCCAAATCGCCAACTGACTTGGCTCTGGCACGGCCACGGAGTTCCGTTTCCTCTGTGTCTGCAGCCGTTGCTGGGTAATCCCCAGGCCGCTGCCACTGGCCCCACTCAGCGTGGGTGGCGTCGACCGGCGATCGGCCGTGCGAGATTTCCTAGTCACCGCGGACGAAGCTGACGCTGATGTGCTGGTCTCCTTCTTATCCTTGCTGGAGTCGAGCATGTCTCTGAAGCCCCGGATGGCATCCCGGCACTTGCACTTGCAGCAACGTCGCTTGGAGCTGGTTGGGGCCGCTGCCGCTGCTGTGGCTGCTGTGGATTCTGTGGCCCCCATGGACAGGGCTTTGCTGCTGCGACTCCGACAGCAACTATTTCCGCTGGCGGCACTCCCTCTAGGAGCTGGTTCCAAGGAAATGTGGAAAAAGAGAAATAAACATTGCCTAATGAGTAATCTGTGTGGGGCTATGCCATGAGTCTATGAGTCGCCTTCTCACCTTGCTTGCTGTTGCTGTTGCTGTTGCTGATGCCGCTGGGACTGGTGTGTTGTGCTCCCGTCGACAACATTTCGCTGACTGGCAGCGACTCGAGCACCTCGCAGTATTCAACGACTTCGGCCTCGTGGCTGTGGCTGTGGTGACGCCGACGCAGCAGCGACTCATCCACATCATCATCATCATCCACATCATCATCATTATCGTTGTGGACGTCGTTCAATTGTAGCGTACTTATCGCTGCCTCAGCCACAATATTCCCGACTGCGACACCACTTCCCGGTAAATTGTTGTTATTCACGAGCTGTTGTCTCTCGGTTTTTGGCGCTTCCGTTGAACTGCCAGCAGTTCGATTTGACACCGCACCCGATCCCACTCCGGAACTCGCCTCCACCACAATTTGCTGCTGCTCATTTGCATTTAGCGTGTCCGCAGACATAGCGGCGACGGCGACGGCGACACCTTGCTCTACGTGCACCTCCTCCTGCTGCTGCTGCTGCTGCTGCACCTGACCACCATTGCCATTCTCCATTTTGGCCAATTGTATTTTGATTATGATTTGACGCACTTCCGACGCACTGTTGACGTCCGTTTGTGCTAGAATTTCCTCCACTAGTTGCACCTGCTGTGGCTCCTCTGCCACCTGCTCGAATCTCTGCTGCTGGATATTGGATTTGTTCTTGTCCTGACTGGCAACGCGTACAGTAGGCTTACTAAAGTGATGACCCATTGGAAGCTCTGTCTGTGCGCTCTGTGGGAGAGTCTTTTCTGTGCTTTCAATCTGCTGCAAATAGAGGCGAGAGAATGCAGGGAATTTCTGATTAGATTTTATTGTGGAATATTCTGGGCATTGCAAAGGGTTTTTCATACTAATACATATATATCTATTCTGGAGGCTTATCTTTATTTTACTTGGGAGTTAGCACATTTTTAATATTTACTCTCGGCATACACAGACATTTCGCAACTTCCAGATACTGCATGTCTGTGTGTGTGCAGCAGTCGTGAGTAGAGAGGGAACCAGTTTGTGCCTCTTCTCCGGCAGCGTGTGAAATGTCTTGACCTACAGCAATCCCCAGGCATGGTGGGGGCTTCACCATTCGCCCCATCCTCATTCCCAACTTAATTAGTTACTTAGTGGAAAGATATTGTTGAAGTCGAGGACTGGAATGGGCATAGAGGGCTCCTGGGGGTCTCTAGCGCAGCAATCTACGGTCAAATGGGCAATTAAATGCAGTCTCACCCTCACCAAAGACCAGTGTACTCTCTGCTGTACTCTTGCTCCCCCACGAACTGACTCATAACCAGACATAGAGACAGAGAGAGGGAGAGAGAGGTGAGAGAGAGAGAGAGCGGGAGATCTTCATCATGATGATGCTGATAAACAATGGCATACCAATCCCACGCATCAGTTCTCCCAAGAAGTAATATGCTCATCCTATTTATAGGCATGCCCCCCTAGATCACACACACACGCACACACACACACATGTGCTTCCCCCCCCCCCTACCCACAAACTCGCTCTGTAGAACCCATTTGACTTCTGGGTCAATGCGGCTGGCTTATCATCTGTACAGAAATTGGAAATCCCATAATCAACAAATGAAACGAGACCCTGGCCACAGAGGCACAACACTAAGCCCCCATTCATGGGAAATCGTTAATAATATTCACTGATAAATCAATTTAATTTCAAATCAGAACCACAAAATGTGGGCCTGTCCCCAATTCCCACTCCAATCTGTCTGCTGTGGCACTGCCTTCAGCTTTGCTTTTGCCTTTGCCTTTGCCTTTGGCTGAGTAATTACTTTCGCACTAGCCAAACTTGGAATCCTTATCGCAACGCAGACGTACTCGAAATTTACCCACTAATAAGATGCGTCAGCTTTCGTGCATCAAAGTCCCTACGCTACGAAATGTGGTACTAGGAAAGAGAGGGGAGGGAGGGAGGGTGCTGGAAGTAGGGCAGAAATACGAGTAGTAAATGGGACATGACAACGGATACAAAGCACAGGTTAATGAGTCACCCACAGCCACAGCCACATCCACCTCCATTCCCCTCTGTTAGCAGTAGAAATTCTTGTGATTTACCCTAAAATGGTGGTAGCTATGGCAGCTATGGCTATGAGCAATGAAGCTCTGTGTTAATTGAGTTGTTCGATGGTGAAATAATTAGATCACCGATCACCTGATTGCACACAACTGATTGATCGATTTGTATCAGTCATGAATGTTCTTTATAGAGGGAAATCCTTCCTAGAGGGAAATCCATGCGAACAGCATATATATATTTATATATATATATATGTATATATATTCAAATATATTTGGAAGAGAAAGATTCATTAAATCACATGACATGTTAATGAGTTTAATGAACTTTGTTAATATTCTACAATTATTGAAATCATAAGGGAATCTCCGCCAATTAAAGCAATTAAAATAAATTAAGAAACGAATTACAAATAGCAAAAAGTTTCAAGGAATACAAAATTAATTAAAATACTCAACGTTAAACCGGATGATACGTATAAATATATAAATATATTAAGACACCTAATTAAGAGTCTTTACGTATAGGAATCTCCCACATATTTTCCACTTTTATAATTATAAAACACTTAAAATATGATTAGAGACTAATTTTAATCAGTTTGTTCACTGGAATGGGAAACTACCAACCCAATCTGTCACCAACTAGAAGATTATTACGTTGAATTTTGTCGCAGAACAATAAAAATATAAATAACCACGAAATCGACTCTATTTTGATTACTCTCTCTAAAGATTGCGATCAATTGATGGCGATTATTTTAGAATTATAACGAACACGTCAAATGTACATGGCTTAAACGGAAATTGGGTTTATCAGTTCTGCGAACTGTACGTACTTTAATAGCTGCAATCTCACAATTTTTGTAGAATTCCCATACTAATGTGGATTCAAAAATTCGTTGGAACAATGATTTCACTGCACTCTCTGTGCCCCCGTCCGGAAAGCACACACACAACACACAGCCTGCTATAATGTTTTCCATGGAATTCCCACCAACCGAAAAGAGCACTAAGCACTCAAAGTTAATCACTTAACGAGTAATATTTTCCCTCTGTGCCTAATCAAACACTCAGACACTGAAACAATCCAGGCAATTAACAGTGCATACATTTCCACAAGTTTTTCCAAAACAAAACACACACGGAGAATTATCAAAGTCAAAGCTTTGACTTCCGGGAAATGTGACTTCCCAAAAGCGGGGGTAAGGGACTAAACAGTCAAAATTGGCAGCCATTTAACAAGAATCGAAATTATAATTTAAATGCTTCAGTTGAAAGTGGGGGGGGGCCCCCATTCCGCTTTCAAATTATAGAGAGTCTGTCTGCTAATAAGGCATACCATATACTACCGAGTGTACTACTCGCAGCAAATGCAATTTGTATGCACCGTTAGCAGCGCTGTCTAACGGCATACCTACTCGCTCGTACGTTTTTAGAAGTACAGTTCGTGCCGCACGTGCTGCAACCAATCGCACACATTAATCGATTTCAGATGCATCGATTTAATCAAGTGAGTAATCAATGTGCATGTCATACAACGAACGATTAAATATATCTAACCACCAACAGACAGACAGACAGTCAGAGAGAGAGAGAGAGACAGGGGAAACCGCTTTCCGTTAGTGAGTGATCCAAGCTTCATTTGTATATTTACGACTATGATGAAATACAGCAAAAAGCCAGCGACTTGAACTCAAGATTCAACTTCTGATTCCAAGAGGCCCGCATGAGGCGACAGCCAAGTCAGCCAACAAAATTTTTTCAATGGAAATACAAAACTGAAACAGCCGATAAAAGCAGCCAGGGATCATACGAGACTCAAGGCAGAGGCCAGGCATGGGGCCAGGGACGGGGCCAGGGAGCGAGAAGCCCAGTGGAAGTATAAGCAGCAGAACGCAGTTTAGGTAGGTAGTCCCATGAGTCACAGGATGACTCCCTCCTGGAGCTCTGACTGTCTGTATGACTGTCTGACGGACGGGGGCTCTCTACAGCGGCGTGCATTTTTTTTATCAGCCGGCCTGGCACTCTTCGGAGGGCCCGATCCGATCCCAGTGCTAAACTTTTTCCTTCCACTTTTTGCTTTCGGTTTTTTTTGTATTGTTGCCAGCCGGAGCAGCAGCTGAATATTTTGTTGTTGTTGTTGTTGGATTGCAGACAATGCGGAATTTCGTCAGAAAACCAAATACAGATAATGATCTAATACATAACTTGTTCAAAGTAAAAACGGTGATAAACGCTGGCTATAGAGCGGCCAGGGCGAAGGCGAGAAAGAGAGAGCCAACAAACCCAACCCAGACCCAAAACCCAAAATTTGAATGGCTAATAAGGGACTCCCAAAATGAATGGGAAGGATGGGGGGAATCACCTCTGAAAATTAACACCAAAGATGGAATACCTCAAATAAAAGCTAATTCGAAATGGAGCAGGAAATAAATCTTGGGAAAAAGTCCCCAAACAAGATATAACGAAACTAATTTAAAGAGATTCCCCAATTTAAATAAATGTTTATTTCATTGATTTTGAAATAAAAATGGAAAATTTGCATTTCTATTTGAGCTAAAAAAGAGAAAAGAAATTTGGATTTATTTTTAAATTGAAATGTCTAAAAGGGAAACAAGTTTTGCGGCTTTTGAACACAACAAATAATTCGTTAATTTTTCGTTTGTTTGAGAAGTGATAAATAGGAAAGTATGGGCGGGCCACTTATTACTAAAATTATTATTATTATTTTTTAAATTATTAAATTTTCTGTTCAAATTTATTTAATTTAATTTTACTGTTCCTGAATATCGTAATCTTAGCCATGACCACACGCGACAGACTATTAATAAATCCCAAGGAAAACTGAAATTTCATAACCCGTTTTCTAACCCATACAATCAATTATTGTTTTATCTGTAAGCGAATATAATTTCGTACATGGACCGCGCCCCACCAAGGTCCGTTATTAAAAACCCATTTGGCAGCCAGCACTCGAAATGAGTTTGTAACCTTCCCACCAAACCCAACAACAAACAACAACAGCAACAACAAAGAGCTGGCTGGCTATACGAGTGTACTGGTAGTACTCGTATGGACAATATTGTAGTATTATGTTTTACGCAGAAATTGTCACAACAGAAACGAAAGAAAAAAATGAATTGCGGTCAACGAGACAAATGGGGGGACGGACGACGCGGAATGTAGGCAAGTGCAAAAACCGAAACACACAAAGGAGCCCAACTGTCAGACACATCGAAGCAGTGAGTACCCTATAGCAGATTGTTCTCGATTCCCATTTCCTGGAAATTTTCTGGAAAGATGAAAATGACAGAAAGTTTGATTGATTGGTTTCGTGAGAAATTAATATTGAATTTTACAGCTGAAAATTATTGTGTACCCATGATTGCTGTATCTTGTAGGTTGTAAGCCTTTTTCGCACCCCCTTTCCATTTCCAAAGAAATGTATCTGTACTTCAGAGCATGACTATGTAATCAAATATGTACGAGTATTTTCTGTTTAAGGAAAGAGGCTTAATATGAGAGTGGGAACAAGCTCGCTGCGTAAGCCGATATACTCTTCAAGCCAACCTCAAGCCAGTTCCAATGAGAAGAAACCTCAACAAAAGTCAGTGGCGACGACGACGACGACAGTAGCCAGCGACACTGTGGCTGAGGAGGGGGGTAGAAGTTGGAGCAGCAGTAGCGGGGTGGTCGGATCGGGTCCGGGGCCGAGGAGAACCGTAGGA